CATAATCACACTACCTTATGACAAAATAAACTCTAGTTCCTCCAATTTGACTGCGCGTTGTCTTATAAAAGGTATTCCCCGGAATTTATTACAACACAACCGGTGTTCTTTCTCAATTCGACTTTCGTTTTCGATTCTACGAATTAATCTCAAAACTTGGGGGCCCGAAAAAAAGCCCCAGGGACACCATTAAAGAGGACTAAAGAATAACCCATTATTGAAGGATTAAAGAGGGACCTACTGTTTATTAACAGCTATGTGGCAAGACAGAGGAGCACCATAACCCCTCTAAATAAACGTTAGGTTTAAGGTTGATACTTAATATGAGCATTTGTCATAAGGTAGTGTGATTATGCATGACACGAAGTATTTGCTAGTCTAGTACTGGAGAAATTAGCGTTTGGATGCGCATTGTGCGGCTTTAACATTAAAGTGGCAACATAATTCCAGACAAATGCTCATATTATATAGTATCAACCTTTAACCTAACGTTCCTTTAGAGGAGGTTATGGTGCTCCTCTGTCTTGCCACATAGCTGTTAATAAACAGTATGTCCCTCTTTAATCCTTTCTGGAGGTTGTTCGGCCACATATGCGATTATTTTCGTGAACGATATATAAATAAATGAAATATTGTAATAATAAAAAAAGTAATTTTCCAGTGGAAATAAATCATTTCACATTCTCAGCTTGCAACTATAGCGCATGTGATTGGTGCTGAACGTTGCGATAGAATGCAGCAAATGTTCTACTGATTCTGCAGCATTGGCAAACAAAATTGGAAATGGCAGAGAGGCACTGACCGACGATGCCACATTCACATCTCTTACCGACAAGTTACTGCAACTGACAGAGTGTCTGCCTTCATTAGACATGACCGTGCTTGAACACAGAGCGGTGGAGCCTATGGTATGTCGCCAGTTTGTTATATGCATCAAGGAAATAAATATGGGGCTGTAAGAGCTGTGGTTCCCAAACCGCGATGAGGCGCAGTGGTGCGGCGCGAGAAGATGGCAAGTGTGGCGGGAAGATTCAAAGACAATCCAAGAAACATTTAAACATTCAGAGAAACATTTTCAATAAATTTAACTGCCAAAAATAAGTATGTTTAGGTCGTTTTATTACTTATTTATTTTGTTACATGTGATCTAATATGGTGAATATATATATATATATGTGTGTGTGTATTATAGAACCCCGTAGAATTTTCCAGAAGTTTGAAAATTTAAAAGCCTCTATCACGTCACCTTGAGCTCGTCTATATCTTATGTATATTTTGGTCATGAATCGTGTGTTTATGTATAGCTGCATTAATTTGTGTTATACTTTCTGCATGTTCCATAATTATATTATAACGTGGTTGTGTTCTATGTTATAAATCAAGCACTGCTAGGAGTTTTCCTTTTAATGTGTTTCTTAGCAATAAAAAATTCGTTGAGCCGCAAGCAAATTCTGAAAGTGTGGCTCAGTGAAAATAGTTTGTAATAGTTTGTAATATTGGGAACGACTGTGTTAGAGTATATGTGACCTTTTATAATGATTCGCTATGCTTGTTCAGTGGACCGAAGTTTAAGATTGCAAACATGTCTTCTTAGTAGAATACTATTGTATAAAATGGCTGTATAATGTGTTGTCTCATGTGCATATCAGGTGCAATCTTCGGCTGTGACGTTGTGGAATAAAGCTGTGACCAGCCAAAGCAAGGGAGTGTTGTCACCACGTCAGCGTGCAATGTGTACGTACGAAAAGAATTGTAATATTGTAATATTATTGGTTATTGGGTAATATTAGAAACATTAATATTGTAATCTCTTTGAGAATCGTGGAAAAATGTCGTTAATGAGCAAATGTAGTGGTTGAAATTATGTAAATCTTTTGCTAAATGCATAATTGTCAACTTCATTTCTCTGCCCATCTCTTTTTGTTAAGATGATTTTACCATTTGTTGTAGTACGGCACATATCCTGTCAACTGATCTTTGTAGCAACTGGAAGAATTTCCAAGCCCGAAGTATACAAAAAACAAGCAATGGTAGGTACACCCAGTACCAACTGAATGTTCGTGTACTCATGTGCACACACACACACACACACTCGGGCACGCATGCAGGTGCACTCATGCACAAACGCACACACACTCGGGCAAGCATGAACGTGCACTCGTGCACAATAAACGCACACAGTCACTCGGGCACGCATGCAGGTGCACTCACACACAAACGCACAACCATGCACTCATGCACATGCACTCACGCACAAACTCACATACACTCGGGCATGCATGCACGTACCTGCACGCACGCACAAACGCACAACCATGCACTTATGTACAAACGCACACCCATGCATGCATGCACGCACACGGCACACACGCACACGGCACACGCTCACACGCACACACGCACACACGCGCACACACGCACACACGCACACGCACACGCACACGCACACGCACACACACACATCACACAACACACACACACACACACACACACACACCACACACACACCACACACACACACACAACATACACACACAAACAAACACAACACACACACACACACACACAACACACAACACACACACATACACATACACACACGCTGCATACACACCTGCCCACTAGCTAAATTTGATGTGTTGCTGCAATATGCTTTGCAACGCAGCGCATTGTTTTACGTGATGTGGAATCACTTTTAATCAATCAAATCTACTGATTGATCAAGATGGGATTGCACTAATGCATGATTCTTGCTCTTATTCTAAATCACAATACAGCCTATAGCCTGTACGAGGCTTTGATTGCTTCAACATGTAAGTCTATTAAATTGGTTTTCGTCTAATATTATACGTGCAGTTTGCATGTATGCCATTACATTACTACTACTACCCCCTACTACTATAATACCAACTATATTACTATATGTACCAGTACTACATACCATTGCTAACTACTATATTCGAACAAGATTGCTCTTCTGCTAAGTATATCGCATTCTTTCCCTGCTTATAGGTGGCACTAAAGTCTGGACGTGCTTGGATGGTACGTGTTTTGCGCATTCGTATCTCCTTAATTGCTATTTGAATCTGCCAACATGTTATCGTTACTGCAATCATCATGATTTGTGAGATCTTTTATTCGCGATAGAGAGACAAGGCTTCCTCTGGCAGTGTTTTTAGTTGAGTTTGACCCAAGCCTGCCACCAACGTTATTTTTAGCCATCAATGAAAACCTATAGCCACATTTACTTTATCGTATGTGGCTAAACAAGAGAAACAGGTGATGGGTATGACAAAAAAGTTGTAAGCAACATTTTTACGTCACGACACTAAAATTGACGATTTCATTACTTCAATCGAAATTTTGTGAGCAGTTAAACCATCGCCATTTGTATTCGCCAGCTTAGGTAGTGAATCGTCATAAGTATTTATTTATCGCATTTGCGAGGCGGCGAACGCCAGCGGTAGTCCTACATATTAGTTATTTTATTACAGACTGTGGAAATCCAGCGTTGCTGAGAGTGCCTTCATTCTGGCTTCAGGGGTAAGCCTTACGGAACCTGCGTGTACGGTGGATATATGTTATGCCGAGTTAGACAGATACAAAAGAAGCCATTCTTATACGAGTCCACCCACTCCGTGTAGATATATAATCCTGATCAACAACTATTTCTGCAGTGTTGGTAATTCTGCAATCACAGCTCTCTCTCTCTCTCTCTCTCTCTTCTCTCTCTCTCTCGTCTCTTCTCTCTCGCGCTTCTCTCTCTCTCTCTCTCCTCTCTCTCTCTGCGCTCCTCTTCCGTTCCCCCCTCTCTCTCTATCTTTCTCCCTTTCTCTCTCTTCTCTCTCTCTCTCTTCGCTCTCTCTCTCACGATGTGCCGAGCGTGCGTGCGTGGGTTGCGCGCAGTGCGTGCATGTGTGCAGACAATCTTGCAGAAGCCCACTACATATCATATGTGGACAGTGCTGCACACTCATATAGACCACACTATATAATTATATCAGGAGTAAGATAATATAGATCTATATTATCTTACTCCTGATTATATGGTATATAAAAACTAGAAGTAAAACACACAAACACCGATGTAGAGTGGAAAATAATGTACCTGTGAGAAATAGAATAAGGTTAAATTTTAAATTAAATTGAACACCCTATTCGTTTTTTCTACATATATATATATATATATATATAGGGTCTATATAGTATACTGATGGTCTTGCACACATCACCTACACCATTAAATATATACAATCCTGTACAACGTCTACCTGTGTAATATATAGCGGCAATATTCTACAAGGTTCACCTAAATCTTATGTAAACTGTCAGCACAACCAGGGCCGTAGCCGCCAAGAGAGGAGGGGGCAACGGGGCAGCTGCCCGCCCCCCTAGATTTTAAAGCCAAAAAAATAAAAAATTTGTCTACTAAAAGAGAATTGTGTCAGAATGAAGGGGTACATTACTCAAAAAGTGCCTCAAATACATTTCCTGCACGATCTACATTTTCAAAATTTTTTTGGTGAGGACCTTAGTCTTAACATTAACTGTTTCTTCTGGACCGTTGACAGAAACGCTGCGTAGTTACCTGAATGAAAAATCGCAGCAGATTTCTTCATAACAATACGAAACAAAGTGATGTCGACGGTCTAGGAGAAATTGTTAATGTTACGACTATGTTAAGACTAATTTTGTTTCTGACAACGGGGCTCCATGTATTGGTGTGTACGCAGCGTGTGTAACACAATCAGGTGTGTAATACAATCAGGTGTGTATAACACAATTAGGTGTGTAACGCAATATCATGTTGTAATTAACACAAAAAGTGTGATAGACGTTACATACTGTGTGTAATACAATAATGTGTGTGTAACACAATTAATGCGTGTTTAAGCAAGCTCGCGCTTTCCTCTCCAGGTTCTCGGTCTAGCATGTGTTGAGGTAGTCACCTTAAGGTAGTGTATGGTCACGTCGACAGATAACACGAACACTGTATTACAAAAGCTACTCTCCGTGCGTTCTATTACACCACAGCATATTCGTCACAGGTGGCAATTGCACTTTAACAGCCTAAACAAACAACTCTACGATACTAAACAGATGTCTATCAAACAGCCGACGAATACGTAAACGAATACAAGTATAACCTCGTACCTTAAAACGTGAATCGCGAAATTAGCTCGGCGAAGTGAAGGTGGTGGACAGACGGCCGGGTATAGAGGAATAGGTGTAGGAAACCAAGGGAAGATCAACGAGACTCGGACAAACTGGACTATTGCGGGTTGAAAGGAAGAGGCCGAGTCTCCTTAGATTGTAGTTTCGCATCCACAGATGCGACTCTTGACTAATAGGTGTCCTCGGATAATATAGTGCGTTGTTTGTGGTGATTGCTTAATTTCTGGTCAGTATGAAACTCGTAACTATCGTACACCCTTTATGGCGATTGCTTACGCCGTGCGGCTTCACGTGTGCTAGCTCATGGAAAATTATGGGGAAATTATAAATGCAAATAATATCTGGAGAAGCCTGCCGCTGTGCTACAGTGTACACAATGAAGTGATGTTAATAATCTTTATTAGCGACACATAAGTGCATTGCTGTGCTACATATGCTAGAGTGTTTTCAGGCGCTTTGAGAAACTCTTTGCACACATAATCAACTGGTGATGGAGACAGCGATGTCAGCAGTCAGAGATGGAGGTTGAGAAGGATGATCTTTTCGCGTTTATGCATACAAGGCAGAAGCTGTAAGTTAAAAAAAGCTACCAGTAGTATATAACGCGACCACGGTAGGAATTAATTAATTAAACTGCTGTATTTGTAAGCAATGCATAAAAGTCGTTAGAACATATTCATCCCATTGCCTATATTATTAGTAGACGCATGGTTTAATGTTGCTATGAAAGTTATGCATATTCCAAGAACAAATCAATTCATATTTGCCTGCATCTTTTTATTATGTCGAAGCTGGTGTCACAGTGTTATAGTCACGTGGATAACACTCCAAGGAATTGCACCACTGGTAGATCTATTGTGTTGCTTTAGGCGTTTGCACAAGAGAAATGGGAAGAGGCATCAAAATACTCAAATGCAGCAAAGGACATGCTCTTGCGACTCCCCAAAGAGGTACTTATATAAATACTACCAGTTTATTGATTAATTATAGCAACTGGAAAGGGTGCAAGGTGCTGCTAATATATTAATGTAGGATATATAACATCTCTATTTTTTCCCGGATTCATGCGTGCCGGACAACTTTCTTTTACCTAAATATGATCAAATATTAATATACTTGCATATCTATTTTTTTTCATTGCTTCAGTTTTCAATTTTCGTCTCGATGTTGTAGACAACATGTCAAAATGCCACACGATACCCGTACTGATCTTGTGCCAATGTTTGTCCGTAGCACGCATCCGTCGTGTTTTACTGTTGTCTGTTTTTTAATGTTGTACGTTGTAAACGTGAAGTCCATGTACAGGGTGAGGTTATTGTCAGCGCGATTAGCTATATAACTAGAGCCATAATCAGCAGCGTTATTAAATCAGATGTCCTCAACAAGTGTATGAAGGTTATACGTTGTCGCATCCTGCTCAAACATGTACAGAATATTAGTTTTTTTCTTTTTCTTTCTTCTTCTTCTTCTTATTATTATATTATTAAATCGTTATTGCATGTAATTCAAATTTTAATGCATTTACTGAAGACAGTAAGCCTATTTATGTACGTGTGCTAGGGGTCGGCCCGTTCGTGGGTCGCTCCGCTTCGCCGTGACTCACGCTGCCGGCACCCACGACCCCCAGGCGAACCACCCACCGTCGCGGACCACGCCGCAGGGCCTCGGCACGCGTCTCTGACCTCAACTTCCCAAACGCTTCGGGACGACCCCATGCGCTCCCCCGCAACGTCAAAGGTGCTCGCCCGAACCATACGCTATGCTACACCAAGTATACCCAATGTATCAAACGGTGAAATAGGGTCAGATTTAGACACCAAGTATCGTACACCAAGTAGTACGACCCCTGTGGCACAATTACAAACAAGGTATTTCACCCTGTTATACCCCCATACTTTTATCGACCATACGCCATGCTACACCAACTCATACCCAATGTTATCAACGGATTGAAATATCGTCAGATTTAGACACAAAGTACTGCGTACCCCAAGTATACGCCCGTGCATCAATTTACAACAAGTATACACCTGTGTATACCCCCTACATATCGACCTACGCCATGCTACACCAAGTAATACCCAATGTATCAACGGTGAAATATTCGTCAGATTTAGACACCAAGTATCGTACACCCAAGTATACGCCCTGTGCACAATTACAACAAGTATACACCCTGTATACCCTACAATATCGACCATACGCCCATGTACACAAGTATACCCAATGTATCAACGGTGAAAATTGTCAGATTTAGACACAAGTACGTACACCATAGTATCACGCCGTCTGTGCACCCATTACAACAAGTTAGTACACCTTGTATACCCCCTACATATCGACCCATACGCCATGCTACACCAAGTATACCAACTGTCATCAACGGCTGAAATATTGTCAGATTTAGACACCAAGTATCGCTTACACCATAGTATACGCCCTGCTGCACAATTTACAACAAGTATACACCCTGTATACCCCCACATATCGACCATACGCCATGCTACACAAGTATACCCAATGTATCAACGGGGAAATATCGTCAGAGGGTTAGGGCGGACACATAGTATCGTCACAAGTATCGCCCCTGTGCCACCAATTGAAACAAGTATACACCCGTATACCCCCTACCATATCGACCAACGCTATGTACACCAAGTGATTACCCAATGTATCAACGGTGAATATCGTCAGATGGTTAGACACAAGATCGTACACAAGTATACCGCGTGCTGCACCAATTACAACAAGTATACGACCCTGTATACCCCCTACATATCGACCATACGCCATGGTACACCAAAGTATACCCAATGTATCAAAACGTGTGAAATATCGTCAGATTTTAGGACACCAAGTATCGCTACACCAAGTAATACGCCCTGCTGCACCAATTACAAACAAGTATCACCCTGTATATCCGCTAATATCGACCATACCGCCAATGTACAACCAAGCTATACCCAATGTATTTCAACGGTGAATATTGTCAGAATTTAGACACCAAGTTATCGATACACCAAGGTATACCGCGCCTGTTGCACAAATTACAACAGTATACCGCCTGTTATACCCCCTTCTACATATGCGACCAATACGCCCATGCTACACGCAAGTTAGCCCCAAGTGTATCAACGGTGTGAAATATCGTCAGATTAGACACCAAGTATCGCTACACAAGGTAGTACGCCCTCGGTGCACAATTAGAACAAGATACACCTGTATACCCCCTACAATAATCGACCATTACGGCCGATGTACACGCCAAGTCATACAACAATTATCAACGGTGAAATATTCGTCAGATTTAGGACACCAAGTATCGTACACCACGTATACGCCCTGTGCCACAATTACAACAAGTATACACCCTGGTATACCCCCGTACATATCGATATACGACCATATCGCCATTGGACACCAAGTATACCCAATGTATCAACGGCTTGAAATATTCGATCAGCGATTTAGACACCAAGTATCGGACACCAAGGTATCACGCCCTGATTGCACAATTATTACAACAAGTATACACCCTGTATACCCCCTACATATCGATATCGACCATACGCCATGTACACCAAGTATACCCAAGTTGTTCGCATTCAACGGTGAAATATCGTTCAGATTTAGACAACCAAGTAATCGTACACCAAGTATTACGCCGCTGTGCACCAATTACAACAAGTATACACCCTGTATTACGTTCCCCCCTACATATCGACCATACGCCAGGCCTACATCATAGTACCCAAATGTATCACGGTGAAATATCGGTAGATTTTTAGACACCAAGTATCGCTTACACCAAGTATACGCCCTGTGCACCGCAATTACAAAAAGTATACCCATGTATACCCCTACATATACGACCAGAACGGCCATGTGACACCAAGGTATAGCCAATGTCATCAACGGCTGAAATATCGTCAGATTTCAGACACCAAGTATCGTACACCCAGAGTATACGCCCTGTGCACCAATGTACAACAAGTATACACCCTGTGTACCCCCTACATATCGGACCATAGCCATGTACGACCAAGTATACCCCAACGTGTATCAACGGTGAAATATCGTCATGATTTAGAACACCAAGTATCGCTACACCAAGTATACGCCCTGTGCACCAATTCAACAAGTATACACCCGCTGATTATACCCCCTACATATCGACCATACGCCATGTACACCAGGTATACCCAAAATTTGGTTTTTAATTTTTTCAAACGGGGGTTTTTTTATTTTGGGGGGAAAAATATCGTCAGATTTAGACAAACAAGTATCGTACACAAAAGTATACGCCCTTGTGCCCCACCAATATACAACAAGTATACACCCGGTATACCCGCCCTACATATCGACCATACGCCTATGTACACCAAGTATACCCATGTATCAACGGTGAAAATCATCGTCAGATTTAGACACAAGTATGCCGGTACACCAAGTCATACGCCCTGTGCACCAATTAAACAAGTATTACACCCTGTATCTACCCCTAACATTATCGACATTACGCCATGACACCAATATACCCAATGTATCAACCGGTGCAAATATTGCGTCAGATTTAGACACCACAGTATCGTACACCAAGTATACGCCCTGTGCCCACAATTTACAACAGTATGACAACCCTGTATAGGCCCTTCCACACATCGACCATTACGCCATGTACACCAAGTGTAACCAATGTATCAAACGGTGAAATATCGTCAGATTTAGACCACCAAGTATCGTACGACCAAGTATACGCCTGTGCACCAATTAAAAACAAAGTCAATAACACCCTTGCGCTATACCCCCTACAGTATCGACCATACGCCATGTACACCAAGTATAACCAATGTATCAACGGTGAATTATTCGTCAGATTTAGACACAAGTATCGGTACACCAAGTATCACGCCGCTGTGGCAACCAATATACAAACAACGTATACACCCTGTATACCCACCTGACATATCGACCAGTGACGCCATGTACACCAAGTATACGCCAATGTATCAACGGTGAGAAATATCGGCACTATTTAGACACCAAGTATCGTACACCAAGTATTACGCGCCTGTGCACCAATTACACCAAGTATACACCCTGTATACCCCCTAGCATAATCGACCATACGCCATGTACACCAAGTCACTACCGCAATGTACTCAACGGTGAAATCATTTGGTCAGATTTAGGCACACCAAGTAATCGCCCTACACCAAGTATTACCGCCATGTG